CTTTCTTTCTTTCATCAACGCCAAAGCGCGCGCACTCGAAATTAATGATCACGACAATAAATAAATAAATAAATAGTTCTCAACAGATTATAAAGTCATCGCAAAATAATTATTTAGATTGTTTATTTTTTAATAAAATTTCTAGTAACAATTTTTTACGATTATTTTCAGTTTTCTCTTAATCCAAACTTTGCAAATTATTTAATATGATAACTGGTTTTAGTGCCAGTATCAGCGCTTGGCGTCTTATTTCTTTCTTTCTAATATTGTTTCTGTTCGGGCCCATAAGTGATAATTTGAGGCTTGTTCTTTGAGTCAGTTACACTTTTATTATTTTAACTTGTTTGCTTCTTGCTTGTTAGTAACTGAATAACCTGGAATAAATTTATTTAAATCTCTCGGGACGTTTAATGATTTGTCCTCGCTTTGTCCTTGTAAATGCTCTCTTAATCCTATGTTCATGGGGTTGTACAGTTTCATTCTAGGCATACTTTCCATTTTTACGACAAATAAAAGAAATACTTACAAGGTGTGACTTTCAATTTTAGACAAAAGCATTCTTTAGTTTTTGAATTTGAAAACTCACGAAAATATGTTAAGATAGGAATATAAATGCCTTAAGATACTCAAACAGTTTTCATTCACTTCAATCGATGTATTTCAGAATGACGCTTCGAGGAAGATGGCCATCGAAGGTGAGCAAGAAATACGAAGGAAATGTCGTAATGTTAAGTTCAAAATCTTTCGCTTCTTCCGAGTAGACTTCAATCCTGTGGTCACATTTGTCTCCGCGGCTATAATCTGGGGATTCGTAATATTTTGCCTGCAATGGACGGACACAGCTAAGCAAGAAATCCCAACATGGAAGGATTGGATAACTCTAACTTGGACATGGCTGTACGTCGGGACACAAGACATATGGGCAATATTCATCCTCTATCTGCTCTTCTCCAAGTATGGCAAGTTAAAGCTCGGCAAGCCCAATGATAAACCAGAGTACAGTGACTCTACTTACTTCACTATGCTGTTCGCTGCTGGCATTGGTGTTGGACTGTTCTACTTTGGTGTCGCAGAACCAATCTATCACTACCAACCCAGTCATAAAACGGACTATGGAAACCGTTATCAAGGAAGGTATGCCTGTTAAAAATTCTTAGTTTTAATTACAAGTAATTGAATACGAATTTCTTCAAACTTACTATGAACTCGAAATTAATGAAACTCAATGGGATCGCGCTGGTACCCAAAGTAACGTGCTGACCAATAACCCTTACACGCATGCGCAGTGACGAGACCAGTGCAATGAATATATTTTCTCGGCTACGGTTACTTGGCATTCATTCCAACCCTAGAAGAAATTGCTAATAACGTTTCAGACTCGGAAAAATTTGGATTATGCCAATGAAAATACACATGGAAATGAATATGCATGAACGCGCATCCCTAAGAAGGTCTATGCATAATTAGTTATATTTTACGAGCCATCTTATCTATAGCCAATGCCCACATTAGAATTTAAGCACAACGGTAATAAAGTAGCATGTCCTATACTTTTCGATACAGCTATTTCAAAAAACATATGAAGGGTGTTTCGTGGAATACAAAAACCACTACATATTTCAACGACAACATCTGTGTTATTGGCAAGAATAACAATTAGAAATACAAGTCATTCCAGCTATTCTTGCATCTTGGAATGACCTATATCTCCTATCACTTATCGCCTATTGCTTATTACCTATCATTGTATACCCCTTCAACGTTTTTTTGAAAAAGCTTTACATAAAAGCTAGTACTGCACTAATAAAATGAAATGGAAAGTTTTCTTCAATAACGATATCTTCTAATTTGCAAATTTGTCCACGTAGGTATTCAGATAACCAGCGTGCACAAGATGCCTTGAATCTAACCCTTTTTCACTGGGGTGTACATGGATGGGTGGTCTAYRCTCTCATTGGACTCATCCTCGGATATTTATCCCACTGTAAAGGCATGCCCATGACCATGAGATCATGTTTCCATTCTCTTCTTGGTGACAAAATCTTTGGTACACTTGGTGACTTCATCGACATCCTGGGCGTGGTCTGCACCATGCTTGGTGTTTGCACTAGTCTTGGTCTCGGGGTCGTCCAACTTAATAGCGGCTTCCACCGTATGAATAACAACATTACCCAGAGCAAAGAAACCCAAGTTATCATCATCTGGTGCATCACTGCCTTGGCCACTGCATCTGTCATCAGTGGTATCAAACTGGGCATCCGTCGTCTGAGTGAGATCTGTTTTTCAATCGGCACGTTACTGTGGCTTGTGATCTTCTTCTACGATGACACTTGGTACATTCTGAACGTCTCCGTGCAAACCCTTGGCTACTACATGCAGTGGCTGGTGCAGCTGGGCTTCCACACCGATGCCTTTGCACAGCCTGGAGACGCTCCTGACAAGAAGCAAGCACCACAATGGATGAACGACTGGACCATCTTCTACTGGGGATGGTGGATCGCTTGGTCACCTTTCGTTGGTACCTTCGTTGCAAGAATATCCCGTGGACGTACCATTAGAGAGTTCATCATGTACACTCTGACACTCCCTACAATATATTCTCTGCTGTGGTTCTCTGTATTTGGTGGTGCAGGCCTACGCATGGAGCGAGCAGCAGCCAATGCAAATATCACTTGCAACTCTCCACTGGGTGGATGGAATTCGACGGAGTCCCTTGGAGGTCTGTACCGGCTCTCCTGCCGTCCTTCTGTCAACATGTGGTTTGACCTGATGGACCAATATGGCGGTCTTGGGGATTTCCTGTCCGGCATGTCCATCGTGGGTTTAATCCTGTACTTTGTGACCAGCTCAGACAGTGGTTCTCTGGTGATTGACAGCTTATCAGCCAATGGCCATCCAGATCCACCGGTACTTCAAAGGATCTTCTGGGCGCTGACCGAAGGAGCAACTGCTACAGCTCTTCTCTGGACAGGTGGTACCAAGGCTCTTTCAGCTCTCCAAGCAGTTTCTATTTGTTCCGGGCTCTTCCTCACGGTATTACTCAACTTTGTCTGTATTGCTTTGTGGAGGCTTTTGAAGATCGAAGTTGGTGACCTAGATCCAAATGGACCACAGTTCACTATGGGGCTACTAGATATCTTCTACCATCCCTCTTACAAGCTATTTGCCAGGCTTATCGTAGCAATCTTTGCTCCATGGTGGCCAATTGGGAGAGCTGCTGGGAAGTTAGGCGGCTCCATTTCCTACCGCTATTTTGCTATGGTAATCATGGCTATTCCTTTCTATGGCTGGGTCATTCTAGAGATCCTCCAAGTGCTCGAGATTGGCTTGGCGTACGTGGGCTGGGCTGTACTGTTCGGCTTTGTTGTATTTGCGGCTGGTGTTCGTTCGCAGATCCGAGATCAGTATGAAATCATTGGTAACCTTGCAGAAGATTTCTTTGCGGTCCTCTTGCTCTATCCATTGGCAGCATTACAGATGGAAGAGGAAATGGGCGACCATCCAAGACCTAATACTGAGATCGGTGCGTCTACATACACCCTGGATACCTTGTCCGATAAAATCACCCAGGAAATCAATGGTGCATGTAATAAGAATCAATATAACCAAGCAGAAAAGTTGTAACACTCTTAAAACATATTTAAGATAAGCGCAAACTAAAAAGCTCTGTTAGAACGTGTATGAAATATAACTGACAATAAAGAGAAAGCATTAGAAAATATATGTATCATTAGAATTTGTATGAGCCAAGAAATGTAGATACCCAAAAAAATATCAAGAAACCTAATGGTATGCTGTCTAATTAACCAATAGAAAATTGAGATTCAAGATAATAGACCCCTTCACGGTTCCCTGCGCCATCTTGAAAGGTATCCGGGCCTTTGCATCGAAGCGAGACGAACAGTGAACTTGCAATGATAGGGACCTGTGAATAATTGTCCAAGGTGTTAAAAAAGGTCTTTATCATTGCAAGCTCACCGTTCGTCTCGCTTCAATGCAAAGGCACGGCTACCTTTCAAGATGGCGCGGGGAACCGTGAAGGAGACTATTGTCCAATCAAATATAAATGCCATTTGAGTGTTCATTACTTCTGTGCATTAGTAAAGATACCAAACAAGTTGATATGTCGAGTTTTTCACGTCCAAATTATGTTTAATATTACCTTAAATAAAACTTACTTTATCAGCATCTGCAGATGCTTCCTGGATTCTTGCGCACCGACGTAGTATAACATTATTACTGAAACATCATTCAGAACTTTTGAAATAAGCGCAATCTTTACCAAACTTTTCCTTAATATTAAATCTAGCACCCGGGTACCCAACCCTGTTTATCAAAAATCCTTTATATCTTCAGACCGTTATCGAAGCAGAAAAGCATGCAGTATCAAATTCTTCCTCTTAATTGAACCAGTATGTAACGTCCCCTGTTCAACCAATTAGGTTCAAGTAATGTTTAGAATATTCAGTGATGACAAGCATTAACTTTGGACCAAAAATTACCCAGAATTTATTTCGAACTCTATTGCACTCCATTCCCCCCCCCCCCCCCCCCCCCCCCCCCACCTATCTCCCCCCCTCACTTATCTACCCAACGTTTGTTACATTTGTAAAACGTCTAAAAACGGCCTTAAAGATGACCCAGAACTTCTTTCCATCTTTCTAACTCATTTCCTTCCATACATTAGACAGTCTCTCTTACTCGCGAGCAGCTGAATGGTAGTTTAGTCAAAGTGAACAATTATTAACATGACTRTTTGTTTTATTGAATGGTAAAAATGCAATTCTACTTATATTGCAGGTATAAGAACGAACACTAGTACACTCCAATATTCATTTAATCATATGAATAATGTAAACTGCATTTACTCATTCATGAATATTTATATAGGCATAAAATATTACAAACTACCAACTTAAGAAAACTAAAATTTGAATACGTACTTAACTCCACTATTTACTTTATCACATGAGTATCGTATTGCAGTTACTCATTCGTAAATAGCTATATACAATCAGGATGCTTTGCGGCCAACCCGATTATTGGAATCAGAAATCAGGAATTGTACAAGAGTTATTTGAGATTCCTGTTTCAGAAATCAGAAAACTGACTTTTCGGCACTGCCTAGGTGTATTGCATGGGCGAAAATACAAGTTTGAAGGAGAGAATGCAGGATTTTGGATTTCCGTTTCCCGAATCAGAAATCGCATTTCTGTTTTCTGAATCACGAATCAGAAATCACAATCTCGCTGACATACGACAAAACACCACGTGTAGGGGAGGGGTGACCACTCGAAAATACTCTTACTTCCGGTATCATTATCTGCGCTCTATCACCCCACCCCACCTTCCCCAGAGAGGAATATATGTCACGTGATTACCAACCACATGAAAAAGTTCAAATACTTTTTGTCGYCTTCGTTTGTTACGACTGCTACAGTGGGTGGTGCAATTTAAGAATAGTAGCGATCATGGATRACTGTGATTTAAAATACAAAGCAGAATACAAAACAGTAGCTACGACAAACGTAACACTTTCAGCTTTATATTCAATATTTGGTATTAATTCCGCGTGCCCATGTTGGCTTAGAGATCCCACAGACACTCACATTTTCCCTGACGAGAATGGAGCTTTTCCAACTCTCGAAAGCTGCAGCTTCTACGTCGTGGAGGTGGGAGCTGCAAAACGCACATTGTCAAAAMGTGACTCTTCTGCCGAAAGTTCGGACGATTTTAGGACTGCATATCAAATGGCTACAAGTACCAAAAACAAGAAACAGAAAAAGAGATCCTCTAAGGGAAAAGGTCCCAGAKCTGTTCCCGGAACCCAGCCTAAACCAGGCCCTTCGGGAATCGAGTCCTGGTTTTTTWAAATAACCGTGGGAGAGTTGATAAAACAGAAAATCGTACCGTTGAAAAACATTTTGATTARATGTTATTCTACAACTACATGTTCAACAGTCAAGGAGGAAATTGGCAGAGAGTTAAACATCAACCCACGTTATATCGCTTTGTATGACAGTGATTACWTAGAAATACAAGACTCCCCAGGAAGAGTAGGTAAGCTCAATATATAGCCAGTTTTCATTGTGATTATTCAAATGCTTATTTTATTGTTTCTAAAGTTATTCCTGGATGCCGTTATTTAGATTTTTTATTCTATGAGATGCAAACATTGCTGCTATCTGAGCAAATCAAACTTTCACCTTAATACTAGTAACTTCAGCGTTGAAATGAAAAGACGTTGTCAATTTCAG